GTTCAGACCAGTCCAGTTCTCCTTTGGGTTTGCCAGAATAAAAAGTCATTCTATGAAACAACATAATAAGAGTAAATAATGACTGGGTTTTTATTAATTGGTGAACTATTGATTTAGGAATGCTGTAGTTAAACTCTTAAATGATTTTTGTGAGCTAATGATCCACATTTGTCATCTTTTCAGGATCAAACGAGCTTTCCTCATTGAGGAGCAGAAAATCGTGGTCAAAGTACTGAAGGCACAGGCACAAAGCCAGAAGTCTTAAGTAGAAGTTGATTTGTACGGTTTAAATAAAATAATTGAAAGCACTGTTTTGTGTTCTTATTTGCCTATGAAGGTAAATTACCATAACTGAATAGTGGCAGGAATTTCAGTTATGTTTGGGAAATTAGTAAGTATTTTGTTGATAGAATGGTAAGCTATCATCTTAGATTTACCCATTTTCTTTACAAAATGATACTGAGCTGAAGAAAACAAATAGTTGAACATTTGTAATTGGATTTTGATTATAAAAAGTTAGTCTTATTACTGAACTTCAATATATTGAAATGACACAAGGGCAGATTAAAACAATGACAGCAAGTAGTCCTCACACACAGTGTGCTGTACAGGCAGGAGCAGCTTGTGTTTTTTGGGATCACACTTAAACATTTAACCTATTTCTATGAAGTAGTTTTGCTTGGCATCACTCTGCAATCTATAAAATTATTTCATCGCATTTGTATTATGTAGGAACTTTTCTGCATCTGTAAACTTGACATACTATGTATATATAATGATACAAATTGATTAAACTGCTGAATACATTTACAAATAGGCCTTACATTTATCAAGTTACTTTATATGTAACTTGGCCATGCATGTTCAATTAACAGCTGTGGTCAAAGATTTTACATCCCTGCATAATCTGAATGTTAATTTTAACAAAATGGATACACAACTATTACAACTATGCACAGATACCATTTTTGAAGACAGAGTACCGATATTTTCTTTCTGGTATTCGATACCAATACCTGTCCTTTTTTGTAGTGTTACATTTAATTAAAATACAGTGAGACTGATGATTTTAGGGCAGCTTATTTTGTATTTTTATTGTTAGGAACTCAAAAGACTGGAAAAATAAATTGTCATTTTTATCTACTTGTCATACAGTTATAAAAGCTCAAACAATTGTCTAACTTCCACAACAAACTAAGGCCTAGATCCAAAAATTTATCAACTGCCTGTCAAAAATCCCAAAATTTTTCCAGAACAAATGTTTATAACAGCGTAGTCATAACCAACAGTGAAATACATTAAAGCCATTAATCATGACAAAACCATAACTGAAGGAGGAGTGTTTATAGGAATTAAATTATATAAGCTAAAGATGTTCCTTAGAGCAGTTGTACGGTAAGCACCTGGCTGCAGATAAAGTCTTAATTGTTGGTGACTTTAATATCCATGTTGACAATGAAAAAGATGCATTGGGATCAGCATTTATAGACATTCTGAACTCCACTGGGGTTTGACAACGCGTGTCAGGGCCTACTCGTAATCATACTTTAGATTTAATACTGTCACATGGAATTGATATTAATACATTTTGCAGCAGAGTGATGATATCTGATCATTATCTAGTCTTGTGTATACTCCATATAGCTAAAACTGCAAATTCAACTTCAAATTCAAACAATTGTATTTCTAATAGTTTAGATTTTCTCGGTGAAGAAATTCAAGTCAAGTCATTACTACTAAACTGTGATGGAATATTCAGTTCAGGTGGTGTCTGTGTATTTGTTAGTCTAGGGACTGTATTAAACAAATACCATGGATTGTTTTGGTTATTTTCTATGAGTTTGCGGAAATGCTCAACCCTGGCTGCTTTTAGAGCCTTTTTGTAGCAGGATATGCTTTCTTTCCATGCAATTATATATTTTATATATACACTGAACAAAATTATAAACGCAACACTTTTGTTTTTGCCCCCATTTTTCATGAGCTGAACTCAAAAGATCTAAGAATTTTTCTATGTACACAAAAGGCCTATTTCTCTCAAATATTGTTCACAAATCTGTCTAAATCTATGTTAGTGAGCACTTCTCCTTTGCCGAGATAATCCATCCACCTCACAGGTGTAGCATATCAAGATGCTGATTAGACAGCATGATTATTGCACAGGTGTGCCTTAGGCTGGCCACACTAAAAGGCCACTCTAAAATGTGCAGTTTTATCACACAGCACAATGCCACAGATGTTGCAAGTTTTGAGGGAGCGTGCAATTGGTATGCTGCCTGCAGGAATGTCCACCAGAGCTGTTACCCGTGAATTGAATGTTAATTTCTCTACCATAAGCTGTCTCCAAAGGCGTTTCAGAGAATTTGGCAGTACATCCAACCAGCCTCACAACCGCAGACCACGTGTAACCACACCAGCCCAGGCCCTCCACATCCAGCATCTTCACCGCCAAGATCGTCTGAGACCAGCCACCCAGACAGCTGCTGCAACAATCGGTTTGCATAACCAAAGAATTTCTGCACAAACTGTCAGAAACCATCTCAGGGAAGCTCATCTGCATGCTCATCGTCCTCATCGTGGTCTCGACCTGACTTGAGTGGGCAAATGCTCACATTCGATGGCGTCTGGCACTTTGGAGAGGTGTTCTCTTCACGGATGAATCCCGGTTTTCACTGTACAGGGCAGATGGCACACAGCGCGTATGGCGTCGTGTGGGTGATGTCAACGTTGTGGATCGAGTGGCCCATGGTGGCGGTGGGGTTATGGTATGGGCAGGCATATGTTATGGACAACGAACACAGGTGCATTATATTGATGGCATTTTGAATGCACAGACATACCGTGACGAGATCCTGAGGCCCATTGTTGTGCCATTCATCCACGACCATCACCTCATGTTGCAGCATGATAATGAACGGCCCCATGTTGCAAGGATCTGTACACAATTCCTGGAAGCTGAAAACATCCCAGTTCTTGCATGGCCAGCATACTCACCGGACATGTCACCCATTGAGCATGTTTGGGATGCTCTGGATGGGTGTATACGACAGCGTGTTTCAGTTCCTGCCAATATCCCGCAACTTCGCACAGCCATTGAAGAGGAGTGGACCAACATTCCACAGGCCACAATCAACAACCTGATCAACTCTATTTAGACAGATTTGTGAACAATATTTGAGAGAAGTGTACATAGAAATAGTCTTAGATCTTTGAGTTCAGCACATGAAAAATGGGGGCAAAAACAAAAGTGTTGCGTTTATAATTTTGTTCAGTATATATATATTATATAAATTATTACTTTTATTTCGCAAGGATGCTTTAAATTGATCAAAATTGATGATAAAGACATTTATAATGTTACAAATATTTCTATTTCAGATAAATGCTGTTCTTCTGAACTTTATATTCAACAAAGAAACCTGAATAAAAAATCTAATCTGTTTTCAACGTATTAAAAATAAATGTTTTTTGAACAGCAAATCAGCATATTAGAATGATTTCTGAAGGACCATGTGACACTGAAGACTGGAGTAATGATGCTGAAAATTCAGCTTTGAAATCACAGGAATAAATTACATTTTAAAATATATTCAAATAGAAATCAGTCATTTTAAATAATAAAAATATTTCACAATATTGCAATTTTTGCTGTATTTTGGATCAAATAAATGTAGGCGTGAGCAGAAGAGACTTCTTTAAAAAAAACATTAAAAATCTTACTGATCAAAACCTTATTAGAACACAATTTCTAAAGTGCCTAAATGTCCAAATTAGTACAATATATTTGTTGAAAAATTCTAATACTGTATTAGGCTGTGACTCATTATTTTTGTGTTGCTGTCTGTTCAAGCTCCCTCCCTCCCTATACAATACGTCCATGTGAATATCTGTCTCTATTTTTTTAACGTAACTTAACAATCGATATTGATGTCCTTTAGCACAGTATTCTGAGTGATGATGATAATAATGGGGTGGTACAGATTCTAGCAATTTAATACCAGGGTTCGTACGGTCATGAAAAACCTGGAAAAGTAATGGAATTTTAAAACACCAATTTCCAGGCCTGGAAAAGTTTTGGAAAAATAAAGAAACCCAGAAAGTTTTGGAAAAGTCATTGAAATCTATTTCACAAAACTCTGTATAATATAATTGTGTTTAATCAGGACCTGGATTTCCGTGCGGGATTGCGCATAGGCTATATCGCATAGTTTTACTCATTGCCGTAGCTTTTGACTTAAAAATGATGGATATTCACACATTTATTCAATAGCCTATAGCATGTAGGTTTGATGAGTAAATAATCAAACCTACAGACTGAAAACAGTGTGAGTGATTCAGCTGTACACGTCTTCTCTCTTTGACTTTCTCTTCAAACGGCTTCACATCGGCGCATCTTGTCTGCGCTACAAGAGCCGCTGCATGCTGCGATACAAGACTTTCACTCGCGTTTCGGGACAGTTGACAGAATTGTCACTTGCCTAATCGGGTCATTGTTGCATCGTCAGAAAATATTATTTATTTGCACGTCTTTTTAAGCCATTCGGTACTCGTGCGCTCCAGAGGCGGTGCGCAGTCACATCCAAAGTGCGCTCGTGCGTATATAAAGCCACCTTGCCAGTACCAAATTGAGTTTGCTACCAAATAAACTCAGCAGAACCCTGCACGGGCCTCAAACATATGCCCTAGTCCGGCCCTTATCCGACAGATTATCAGAATTACTTGCTGAGTCCAACTGGAGCCCGTGTCTTTTTTCTCTTTCTCTCTTCCCCAATTACACAGCTGCTGTTGTAGCCATTAAAATAGTTCAGTTTCGTTTTTAATGGCAAAAGTGGTTATATATATTTTCGTTTCTTTATTACGTTAATTTAGAAATATGTTTGGAAAATGTTTTTGTTTGTTAAATTCTAGTTTTTTTGTGATGACCAAGCGGCCAGTGCACAGTGAGTTAATCATAGCCTATGTTTGATCAATTTAGCCTTCTCAAATCATCACCACTTGACTAAAATAAAATCTATAGGCCTATATAAAATGCTTAAAAAAACAATGTTTAGTTTAAATGGTTCAATAGTTTCATATCGCTGTTATTTTTAGTCTACTATATGCTGCTCTCAGAGCAGGAGTACTCAATAGTTTCATATCGCTGTTATTTTTAGTGTACTATATGCTGCTCTCAGAGCAGGAGTACTCAATAGTTTTATATTGCTGTTATTTTTAGTCTACTATATGCTGCTCTCAGAGCAGGAGTATTCAATAGCTGTTTATGTGTGATTTTTCATAAAATATATCGTAAAATCACTTACAATAAATGCGATCTCCGACGAGCAGTCGATAACGTATCTCTGTAGAGTATTCTGTAGATTCCCTCCAAATTTCCAAACGTTTCTGATCCAATTTCATTGGTTGAATCTTTCAACCAATCATTTTCCTTTCTGCCCTTAGAACTAAAAGTAGAAGTAAAAAAGTTTTTGTTTTCTAAAAAAGCACAAGGTATGCTGATATTGTGAGTGCACACAAATAAAAGGAGACTGTAGAATGATGTATTACTCTTACCTTTATGAGCAAAAATGACGGTTGTATCCACTGTTATAAGAAAAAAATGGAAGTGATCGTGCTGGCGACTCCATGTCCGCGCTTTAGCTTCTCTGCACAAACGATTGGTTACACGCCTAATAGCACACATTTATCTAGGTTAACCATTTAAACTAACATTGTTTTTTTAAGCATTTTATATAGGCCTATAGATTTTATTTTAGTCAAGTGGTGATTTCAATAGTTTCATATCGCTGTTATTTTTAGTGTACTATATGCTGCTCTCAGGGCAGGAGCGTTCAATAGTTTCATATCGCTGTTATTTTTAGTGTACTATATGCTGCTCTCAGGGCAGGAGTACTCAATAGTTTCATATCGCTGTTATTTTTAGTGTACTATATGCTGCTCTCAGAGCAGGAGTACTCAATAGTTTTATATTGCTGTTATTTTTAGTCTACTATATGCTGCTCTCAGAGCAGGAGTATTCAATAGCTGTTTATGTGTGATTTTTCATAAAATATATCGTAAAATCACTTACAATAAATGCGATCTCCGACGAGCAGTCGATATCGTATCTCTGTAG